AATAATTCTGTAAATTGTTTGCTACTAAATGTTTAGCTATCTCTTTTTAAAGTGTCAGTTCATTATTTTCTTTTGCTTAAGAGCTATTAAGCCAAATCCTTGGATGTCTCCTGTTTGTTTGAGAGCTAAAGTAACGGTCTTGCTTGTTATTCTGGTAGGATGCTCGTTGTGTTACACTCTGCGTGTCTGCGAGGTGCATCTCTGAGGCCTCATCCACAATATTTTTCCATTTGAGTCCCTCTGATCACAACTACAGGGGACTTTTAAGGACAATTTACATATTGTCTAAATGTTTTATTTCTTGTATTTCTGTGACTCTAAGGTATGATTATTTTTGTTTGCAAGCAAAAGCCTGTATTTTTTAAAATTTTTTTTTTTAGACCCCTTTTGTTTCTTAATTTTCTCATGTATTTTGAACACAATAATTATTTTTAATGACAAAATAATCCTGATTTTTCTAATAGCCATTCACATGAGCTTTTTAACTTGGAGACTGAGAGCAAAAGGCACTAACAGGTGTGACTGATCGAAGGGGGCATAAAGCACCAGTGCAGCAGAGACTTTTTCAAAATGGGACGTTAGCTCTGGTTTTGTTGGATGGCATTGTCTTTGTAATGCAACTTATCACCTTGCAGTGGCACAGAGCCATTTTAACAGAAGGATGTGAATATGAGCAACCGAGAGATCGTGGGTGAGAACTCAGCGTGTATGGAGAACAAGTTTTCCACCTAGCAGTCCTGAAGTGGGAGGCAGTTGACCCCCTTCTCGCTCAGTGGGGAGTAGGATATTCAAGCGGTGTTCTAGCTGTGTTGCAGTAACTGCTGGGTAGATGTTAGTTCTGCGAGATACAGTTGTATTTCCTTGTTGGTTCTCTGCTGATGCTATAGGTAGTATGCTTCCTTTGTCATTATTACTATCTTAATTGTGCTTGATTTTTTTTTTTATAGAGGTTGATCTGACTTTGTAGTTAATTTTAGTGTCTCTTGAAAAAGAAAGGAAGGATGGGGATATGATTCCCTGGCTGCTAATCAGATTTAAATTAAATTAAAAAAAATAAAGTGCTATCTTCTGACCATTTTAATACCAGCAAGAGGTGAAAGCACTTAATACCGATGTATTGTTGAGGATAGTCTCTCTTCTAACTTCTGAAAAGGGATGGCAACTGTACATAGCAGCTTACTCATAATAAAAAGGACTAAGAGCATACCATACAGTGTGTTCTGTTACCTGCTGCAGAAAGTAGTGTTATTGTTTCAATTTAACTATTTGAGATATATTAAGTAACAGATATGTGAAACAACATACTGTCCAAGTTCTTTAGAATTTACTTTCCCAATATATGGAATTATTTTATATCTTCCTATCTAATTCAGATCCTGTCTGAAATACCAGTGTCAATTACCTACTTGTCATTTTGAAAGAATGCTCGCTTGTCTGCTCAGCAAAACATTAAAAGAACAAAACAAAAACTGGGTTTTCTCATACTGTCCAGCTGGCAGACAATGTAATTGGCCTGTAAACAAGTTGCATTAATCTCTGAGAAGCGATTTGCAGCAAAAGCAAATTATCTCTGTGCTTAGGATAGTGAAAGATTGCATGATAGTTTGATCATGTAAAAGCAGACTTTGGAATTGCATTTGTAAATCCCAATGCAGAGGAAATTATTTTTGTGGCCGTTTTACTGGCATTTGTTGGTGTAAACCACACTTCAGACAACTGATGAATTCTCTTACATGTTCTGGAAAACACAACCATTTCTAAACTTTCAGATGGAAAAGTAATATTTTTGGGTTTGGGGGCAGGCTGGGCCAGTCTTTTAAATTGTTTCTCTTCTCCAGTGCAGGGGAAGTATGTTGTCATTTGAAAAATAATTACGCCGCCTTCTGTTTCTCCCTACTTTACCAAGTTACGTTTTCAAAGGCAAGGTTCACCTGCTTTCTGCTAAGTTCTGAGGCCATTTCAATTGGGGAAGTATCTCCTGTAGGTGAGTTAATCTGGAATAAACACTGAACAAGAGACAAATTGTTCATCCGGTTATACCCACAATTAAATTTTTTTTTGGTGTGTATTTTCTCTCATAAGTTTTTTTCCACAATACTTTCTAAAAGATGAAAAATCCAAACCCTCAGGGGATGTCTTTGAAAAAACAGCATTAAATATATTTACAAGGTTCATTGTGCATTACTGTTAGTGATGCAGTTGCACAGCTTGACAACAGAGGGAAGAATTGCACAACAGTGAGCTGTTTCACACTGCTTTTTATTTAGAGGCAGCTGGTTAATTTTGTTTCAGGCATTCAGTTTGAGTATTTTTATTTCCCCTGTACTCTTACCTTGAAAAACAGTCCCTTTTTTTCCTCCAATTTTCCACTCTTGGAAGTAGATGAAGTTCAGTACATTCATTGTAATTGGGACAGATATTTGTGTTCCCCCATAAAAACTTATCTGTGTTAGCAGCTTAAAATATCTTTTGAGTTTTCCTCTAAACTTATTGACATACAGAAATTTTTTTTTTTTGGTTGGTGAAGGCCTGTCTTTACTGTCCATCAGAGAGAAAAGATTACTTGGTTTAATTAGGAGTATGATATCTCCTTCAGCCTCCATGCAGGCAGCGAACTTGAAGTCCTTAATGAGTTAACTGATGTGTACTGTAAAATAAATGAAAAAGCATCCCTTTTCATTAAACAGTAATTAGATACTCACTTTTGTGGTGGCTTTCCTTCTAGGTGGCTGGGATCAGTCATGGCTGTAAAAACTTGGTTTAGTTCTTGGTTATCAAGGATCACATAATCCTTGTTTTATTCTAAGTGTTCTAGAAACACATAACAAAACATTGTGTTTCAGGTTTGGAAGAATCTTTTTGCCCATATGAAATGTGGGGGTAGCTTTGTTCACACAGAACACTGACAATAAGTTGTTTCTTCTTTCAAGATACATACTTACTGCCACTTTAGGAGTCTGTTTATTGTTCAAGGTGGTTTATTTGATCTAGTAGAACTCTAGGATTTTTGAAGCTGATAATGCTTCAAAATAATAATGATATTAAAGACCCAAGCTCCTTTTTATAATCTGCCATTATCCCCAAGTGAATTTTTAGGGAGGACTCTGATTCTGTGATGTTTTCGTGAGTTCATGACTAGGTACGTAGAATACCCGTTAGTCCAGCTCTGTAGGTTATTCTGAGCAAGGTGTCCAGGCTCATGTCCGGAGGGCTTTTGACTGTCTCTGCAGCCTCCCTGGGCAGCCTGTTCCTGTTCACCCTCACAGTGCAGAAATGATCCCTGATGTTCAGATGGACCCTCCGAGGTTTCTGTTTGTGCCCACTGCCCCTTGTCCCTGTCCCCATCACCACTGAAAACAGTCTGGCTCGGTCTCGGTTACACCTTTCCTCCGGGTGTTTGTATATTGACTGATGAGATAGAACTTGTGATATAAAGGTGTGGCTTACAATGATCGCTGTTTTCTCTTTTTTTACCTTGGCCCCTTCTAGAGATGGGGAATAGGAATTGATTTGCCTCGGACCCTACGCTGAATCAGTGCCAGTCGTAGTGGTAAACTGTAGGGATTCCTACTTTTTAAAGCTATGCTATATTAAGTTCAGTTTTTGTTAGACTGTTGCCTCACAAGTATGTGATATAAAATCCTGACTTTGATTTAATATTTATCATTAATCAGGGAAGTGACTTGCTCCTTTATTTACAGACTTAATCAGCACAAGCTGCTCGTTAACTTATCATTCCCTTAATATTCCTCATGTCGGTGATAAGCTCATGTTCAGAACACAGATGCATTAGGTTGCTTCCATATGGTGCTTTGTCGAAAATGAATCAATTAGTTCTTTTGGAAAAAATCCTTGTGAAGTTTTTTTCTCTTGGTGAAGAGTCATCCTACAAACGGTGGAACAGTTTAACAGTTTTTCATTGATTGTGTTTGAGCATATTTTTAGGCAAAAACTTAGCAACAGTTTTGGTAGGTTCTTGTTGAAATTTTCTTTGCGCTTAGGAAAAGCGGGGGGGGCTGTTTGCTTTAAAGTTGATATTTGACAGATTTTGAAGAGCTGTATGAGTCCATTAAACACACCAAGTGATACACCTCTATTCTAGTAACTGTGTCGTTGCCACTTCTATGGTGTCCAGTCTTTCAGCTCCTTGGAAAAGTTTGTTTTTCCAGATTGTTAACAATTTTTAATAGTGCAATGGCTGTTTCAAATGCTTGTGAAGTAAACATTTGCACATGCAAATAGAGTCACAGATGAATGTTTGTGGATTTGGCACTGTAAATTTGTGGAGCCACTGAAACTTCAATACTTTATGTGCCTTGCTTTCGAAGGACAAAAATAGAGAGTCTAAAATCAGTCCCAGTATTACAATCAGTGTTCACACATTGTATGCCAGTAGCCTGTAGTTTTGGCTTGCTCAATGTTAATTTAGAATAATTTTTCAACAAAGCCTATTTCCTACTTGCATTATCTTTTGACAGTGAAATAATTGCAGACCTGCACTTACTGTTTCCCGAAGAGAAGAAATATTTTGGTTATGTTTGGCAAGATAAAAATGAGGTCAAATAATGTGACACTGAAGACTTATCCTTGATTTTAAATATCTAAAGCATTATTAGCACCAAAGATCCTTTGTGTGTTTACATGTAAAGGTAGCATGGTGAGATCAGCATCATGATGTCAGTAGAGGAAGCTGTTTCTTTAACGGTTGTCTGTGCCTCTCACCTGAGCTTGAGCAGCAAGCAGCCAAGAAACTGTAACGAGATTATGATCATGTGAGGAAAAAGACGGGGATAGCAAAAAGGGAGAGGCAGTGGTGAAAGCACATCCTGCAGGAGCTGTCATTTACGGCTGCCTTAAAAAAAAAAATCAGCAGGGATTTATAGCTGTGCGTTGATATTTAGAAAAGCAAGATTGTTTTAAGTCCCAACTTGCTTAACACTGTGTCTGGTATTGCTGTGCTACGATGCTGCTGCTTTACACCTTTTTAATTTCTTCCTTAGAATCAATCTACCGCCGTGGAGCCAGAAGATGGAGGAAGCTGTACCGAGTGAATGGGCATTTGTTTCAAGCCAAACGGTTTAACAGAGTGAGTACTGTTGCATAAAATGTTGGGTTTTGGTAATGTTCTGTGGTAATTGTTTTCTCAGCCTCTGCTTTCTCTGTATTTGAGTGGTGAAAAGAGAGGAAAACCAAGATGCTTATTCATGTTACTTCTCAGTCTATGCAGTGCTATTCAGGTGATAATCAGAAAAACTTGAAAGTCTTTGGATCTGAGATGGAGTTAATAATATATGATTGGTGGAAAGCATGTATTTTGGAACTCTCTAAAGAAACCCTGGTTTTGTGGCTGTTTAAACTGATGCATACTTAGAGCAGCTTTTCTCCTCCCCTCTGTATGTGATTTTGATTGTTAGCATAATCTTTTACCTTCAGTACTTCTTACCATTCTTAAAGATAAGAGCTCTTGATGTTAGCTGATGAATCTGAGGCTTTACAGAATCTAATTAAGAAAATCTGGTTTATTTAGCTAAAATACAACTATGGTTAAGAATCAGCCTTAATCCACATAAGTGAATGTAGCTTTAAGGCTGAGACGCCTCCTTCACTTATCCCATTACGCCGAAGTATTGCAGCATACGTACAAATGTGGTAAATGCTTTTGGGAATTCCATACAAAACTGAGTACAGTGAGGTGAGTTAACTTCTGGATTCAGTGGTAACATTTATAAAAATCAAATTAGCTTTTTTTTCCCTAATGTTCCCCACCCCAAAACTGCATTGGAAGAAGGAAAGGACCCTTAAAACTCAGTATCTCATCACTAGATATGTGAAAAATATGTCACATGTCTGAATTAAAACGTGTTTGTATAATGTGATGTACCAACTCAATTTTTAAAATTGATTCTATGAAATATACTTTTTTGTGCTTATTTGCTGCATAGTTAAAACACATTTCTTTGAGACATTGGGAATGCATACCTGCCACATTAATAATCCATAATGTTATACATAATGATGTTTTAATTGAAATTAGGCAAATAGTGAATATATATGTAAGCATGCCCATTTGTCAACAATCCTGAACAAGACTGCTTTGTTATAACTGTCTGTATATAAATGAACTCATAAAGCCACAACACAAACCATATCCAACTGCAGCTGGTAATAAAGTTGACATGAGCTGTAAAATGTGATGTGAAAATGTATAAACTGGGGATGAGTTATGGTCATGTGTTACCAAATAAGATACCAAACGTTAATGTTGACTGAATTTTTAAGACTGGGGTATTACCTTATGAATTAATTCCTTTTTGCAAAGTAACCTTTTAAAACTTTTTCAGATAATTCAGATAAATGAACACGTGCAAGATTCTAAACCTTAATCTTGTTGGACATGATGTAAAGGTTAAACCTGTTATTGCTGTGTTTGTATGAATTTTGGAGAGGTGTGAGAAACCTATACAAGAATACTGAAGAAGTCTGATGGACCAGGAGTTTAGAAAGAAGTGCCTATAGGTCTCCAACACCTCCTCTCTTGTTAGGCAGTGTGGTTTTTGGTTTTTTTTTCCTGGGCAATGCAGTTTGGATTTCTCCAGATCAGAGAGGACTGGCTGTACAGATAAATGGGATGTAGTTTTGTTTCCTACAACTCTCAAAGTATGAGAAGGGCAAACCAGAAAATATTTATTAAAGAAGGATCAATTTTTATTTTTTTTCTGGTTTTATCTTTTATAATACTGCTGGTAAGGATTTCTAGTAGCTTAACGCTTTTGGGCGGGACACAGTCTGTGATTCATTAGTCTGAGGATCTGAATAACCACACCATAACTTGCCGTTTGCTGGGAGGAACAGACTTTGACTGTTCTGTGGCTTTGGGACAGTTGCAGAGTTCTGTCTAAGCCTGAAATGGGGGATGAGTGCAGGGCTTCATGGGCAGGTGCAGAACGATAGGCAATGTCTTAGCCTGTTACAGGAATTACTGGAGAAAACTTGTAGATAAGGAATAACGAGCAAGTCTTCTGTTGGCAACTTGTGCACTGTGCAAAGGGATAACCGAGACTACAGGACTTCTTGGCATGTAAGGATCCTGGATTGCTACTTGGCACTTGAGTAGAGTGGATAAAATGACCACAGCACACATACACTGGAAAAACTGTTTGAAGAACCACCCTGTTAAAGTCAGGAGTAGAATGTCTGGCTTCTTAATTTGTCCTCCATTTAAATTTATTTTATTCAGATGCCATTTTGTTCCATGTATAAAACAGTCCATGTATTTTTGATCTTAAATAGTGCAACATACCGAGGCTTTACGTCAGACTTCATAGAAGAGTTTTAATTATGCAAAGTTTCTGCTGATGTTCTACCGCTGTTGAAATGTATAGGTGCAGAGACAGAACTTGCCTTTTGTAACAGTTTGTGCCAGTGTTCTCGAAAGCATTCAGTTTGGGTGCTTTTTATGCCTAATTGTGTAGTACGAATTCCTGTTAGTTCTGTTTGGGTAACCTATGTCAGAACCTGAAATTCAAAACATAGTTATTCTCTAAGAATGATGTGCTAACGTTAGGCTGTAATGTGTTCCATATGCTTGAGATATTTGTTTTCTTAACATTCATTAGAAAATGATTGCGTTTAGCTGACTTCTAAGTATGAAATGTAGCTTTCAGTTATTAGGGAAACCCCAGATATTCTGAAAGAATTCTTATTCCCCTTATTATAATTCACCTAATTATTTTTATTAGGAGGTGACTAGAATGGATTTTTGTAGGGTGGATTCTTGCTGCTAGATAACTACTGACCTACAGAAAGGAATGGATAATTGATAATCTGCGTTCTGGCTTTTAGAGAGCGTACTGTGGCCAGTGCAGCGAAAGGATATGGGGTCTCGGAAGGCAAGGCTACAAGTGTATCAACTGCAAGTTGTTGGTCCATAAGCGTTGTCATATACTTGTTCCACTGACCTGCAAAAGGCATATGGTAAGTTTGCGTTCTGTGTAAAGCCCAGATGTTCCATTGTGCCTGTGTTGGTGTTTCTAGGTGTGAATCCAAAGTAATTAAATGCCGTATGTGGCTGTAGATATGTAATATTTGGTACTTGGTTTTCAGTTTCTGAAATGTCTACGGAGGACGAGCCTTTGGATGGTGAGCAGTAGAGACAAAGTGAGAAAAGAAAACCTTGTGATATGGGTTAAGTGTGAGCAAGCTTGAGTTTGACTTCTCCAGTATGTCCATTGAATTTTACAGATAGAGAGCTGTCACTGGCAACCTTAGCTTTGGTTCCTTTTAGCCTATGGCAGTGTTTTAAGAGCTAACACACCAGTGTGGTTTTTTCACTACCGCTTGCAAAAGGGTGTGTTGCTTTCTTGTTCTTGCCACCTCGATTTCTCCAGTACTGCTCTCATCCTCTCCGTTCCCCTCTAAATTCCAGTGGCAACTCTAGTGTAGTTCTTGGGCTTTAAACATTAATCTGTATGCCTGAATTCTGGCCCTTCCCCATACTCCCCGCAGACGATAACCAGGATCTATCTCCCTGGCCGTGCATACTTTATGGGTATTTCTTAGGACTTGTGTTGACAAATACAATAGGTTCTTTGCCAATTTATTTCTGCCTGCTGCTGTACCTACTAGAATAGTCCTACATGTCTCCCGATGAGTTGTGAATGAGACCAGGGTCCAAATGTACTGTAAAACTGTTTGGCATCGTAATCTTTACTGATTTATGCAATGCCCTTGCATAATGAGTAACAATTCATGGTTTTTAAATAGGAAAGGAATATGCCAGTGCTGTAAATTGAGTGTGTAACATCATGCTGAAGTGTAAGCACTTTGTTGCAGTTCCATGTGAAACATACTCAGAAGTCTGAAATAGAATAAAAGTTTGACCTTTACGATAAAATATGCTGCTCTTACTTTTAGAAGACAGCTAGACATCTGTTGTAGTTGCAGAGGACGGTTGACGCAGCATTTAGGGTTTTGGTAGGCTGGTTTTATAACGCATTACGAAATGTTAATATTCTGAAATACTTTCTACAAAATCCAGCTTTCGTTCTGGAAGACAAAAATGTAAGGTTCTCATTGCATTGTAGTGATGTGGCAAGACATACTCACTTAAAAGGCACTGCATAAACTGACATGTTTTCCTATGTAACTTATGTGTTTTGCAAGGATTCGGTCATGCCTTCCCAGGAACCTCGCTTAGATGATAAAAATGATGAAGCTGACCTCAAAGCAGAAGAAACTGATGGAAGTGAGTATGAGTACTTTTTTTGTTAAAATGCAATTCATGTGTTTCCCCATTTGGAGGTCCAGTTTCTACTCTACCTGTTTGGTTGGTTTTTTTTAAAGTTTGCTCTTGATTAGCTCTAGGTTAGTCCCATGGACTAAATGCTCACTAGGGACTCAATTACAGAAAATGCACTACTGAAGCATATAATCTCGTTTGGTTTCATCCTAAATTCATATGCTCTGAAAGCATTCCAGAATGCCAAGTTAAACACAGAGCAATTGGAAAAAATAGATTTAGTTTTTAAAACAACTTTGTGTGATTTGGTGTACTCTTTCTGGGTGAACGTTTTGGATAGTTTAACCTGTCTTGTTTTAGGAGCCCAATTGTCAAACCTGTTCTCCAAAATGACTTTGGCCTCTGTCAGATACTGTTACGAGCTCAAAGGCTCATTGATGAATTTCGTACTGGCTCGGAGTTGGTTGTTTCTGCAGGACCCTTAGGATCTGCTGTCAGGAGTACAAACATAAGATGGAAAAATTTGATCAATTATCCTGTGATATTTAAAACAAATTGCTGACCCTAAGTGGCTAAACCATCTTTTCCATTTATCAATTTTTAAAATTACTTTTAATGAAGGCCTTAATAACTACACTACTTGTTTGGTTTCTTTTCCAGTTCCCTACATTCCTTCAAACTGGAAACATGACAACATTAAAGATGATTCTGAGGTATGTTTTAAAAATATCTTTGTAATTCATGTTTACACACTCTTAATCATACAACTTCTTTAAAAATAGCTGATAATTTGTTCTATTTTTTCTGCTACCTTTTAAATAAAGAAGTCTGGGTTTTTGTTCTGAAAATTGATTTATTCTTTTATTTTTAAGCATTCTTGGTTTTTTTTTCAGACTTCTTTATGCAGGTCTTGTTAGCCCAATCATGATCTGAGAGGTTTTTTTTTCTCCCCTTCATGTTGGAACAACAGTGTTTTAGCAGAGGGTTTGACTTTATTGGTCCTTGCGAGCACTGGTGGCTTTGACATTCTCGTGTGCTCTCTCTAATGGATGTACACTCTTCATCACCCTCAGGCTACCTCTACAGGCTATCATGAAAGTTGGGTCAGTCTGATAACACATTAACTATCCAGCTCTCTGAGATGTTTCATATAAATAATACCAAATAGTTTATAGATGGCTCCTGTGAAATACAAATAGAATAACACACACTTAAACTCTTTTTCAGCTCTTTTGTAGATGGTCTGACGCAGTCTCTGCACACCAAGAATGCTATTCCCTTAAAGCAGTTAAAAAAATTCCAATACACTTTAATTCAAAAGGGCTTTAAGACATTTCTTTTTTAAAATGCTTCTGGCATATTTAATAAATAGGATGCACTCTGCAGAACACTAGCAGTTAGTTTGATATCCTGCTTTTAACAAGCCTGCACCTTTCTTTCCTTCTACCTCCACTACAATACTTGTCACTACCATTATTTCACACTTGAGTAGTTCCTGCTCTTGGGTGACTGCTTTATTTTTGGTTATGTGTGTTTAGATTTTATCTCAAGTTCAGAGAGGGAAGGGTTTACATTTAAAACGTTAGAGAAGTTAAATTGCTGTCTCGAATTGCTGATTTGTGCTGTGGTTAGTCTTTGTGTTTAAAGTCTGATAGGTGCTGTTTGCTCAACTGTCCTGAATTATGCTGCTGACTTTCCCACCTTGCTTTTGAGCTTTGCTAAGATAATTTAAGGTATCCTACGGAGGAAGTGGCATTCTGGGAGCTTTGTTGACTAGAATCTTTAAGCTCAGAGCAATCTCTTCTAATAGCAGTCAATCCTAGATCAAGACTCTTTATATACTTACTTTCCATAGTTCAGCAGAATGCTGATCTGCCTACAAGTACAGTAGTATGAGGTCAGATAAAAATAGGCCACAGAAGTATGTCAAAGCATTGTATATATTGGTAAGACATGAAACGGGAAAGTACATGCTGCATTTGTCTAGTTCAGCTGCTTGATCTTCAGCCTCACATGTTCACATCTAATTCCAGCAAAGAGTCAAGATAAAATTTAACTTTTTAATAGTGAATTTTAAAATTACTTTCTTCATAGTAGAATATTTCCTGCAAATTCTCACAGTTCAGAAACTGGCATCTGCTTCTGCATGTTCCCAGGCACTTATTAGAAATCTTCATTTTCATTAGAACTGTAGTGAACTCGACACAGACAGCTGTTGCCTAAACTGAAACTAAGACAGGTATATTCATTAGTAAGTTATTGTTTCCTTATCTGTCTTCTTTTTAGATTGCCTTTATCAATTTGTACTACAGTATCTGTCAGAATATGAGAAATGTTCTTCACTTAGTGCAAAGGATAATTAATTCTACATGGCCTGCAATTCAAGAATTTGAATAAAACCTCATTTCTCAAGGCGTTGCCTTTTCTTTTTCAGTAGGGAATATTTAAATGATTCATTGAATGAACTACTGCCTTGAAAAACACACTTTCAGAAAAAGCAAAACCAATACCAACCTAACATTTCTAAACAATGGTGTTATCATCAGCCTTTCAGATCTGTGTGCCAGTGACAATGGCAAGCAAACTCAGCAAATCCTGTCCAGTGGTTAGAGACCTCTTTGCTTTAATAGTTACTGGTTATGAAAATATCTTCTGTTTCTAGCATCTGTTTCTTTTTATACAGGATATCAAACCAGTCATTGACGGAATGGATGGAATTAAGATTTCTCAGGGGCTTGGACTACAGGACTTTGATTTAATCAGAGTTATTGGACGTGGAAGTTATGCCAAAGTTCTTTTAGTTCGGTTAAAAAAGAATGATCAAATTTATGCTATGAAAGTAGTGAAAAAAGAATTGGTCCATGATGATGAGGTAAGAGTCTGTGTTAATTGCATTGTCACATATTGTAAAAATTTGGTATGCCTTAACAAGAACATTCAACCAAGAAAACAGCAAAGGTTTTAGACAACATTTCTGTAATAAAAGTTTTACTGACTTTAGAACTCATTTCTCATCAACTGTCTGCATGAAGCAACAAGATTAAATCTGAGATTAATGTTCATTATTTTAATAATAATCAACAATTAGTAGTAGTCTTAGTAGGATGTATGTGAAAAATATCATCCAGCCTGGATGTGCTAATCTGTAAGTGACGAGATAAATAGGGTGGAATCTGGACACTAATTTTGAAAGAAAACAAAGATGTTTTCCAGGGCAAATGAATGCAGTTGTGAAGTATTGACTGTATTTTGGAATTAGAGCTGGAACTGTGTTCTTACAGTCATGATTAGAGAGCTTATGTGCAAGTGATGCAGTACCCTGGAATATTTTTTCCATGGATTTAAAGAATCCATAGAAATGTAAAAAATTTTTAAATTAAAAAAATTATGCTACTATCACTTGATGTCACTATGCTTTAACTGACTTGTAAAAAAAAAAAAAATTCTGTCTGCAATAGAAATCTGTGGCAAACTTTACTTTCACTAACTGTCCTGGACAGGAGGGCCTGGTTTCTCAGTATCTGTCTTTGTCTCCAGATTGGTTGGAAAGCAGGAAGTATCTGTTGAAAATGGTCAGTTTTTAGAACAATTATATTTCTAGTTTGTTGGCAGAGTACTGAGCATTTGCAGGGTGGAACATGATCAGTGTATTGCCTGAAGAGTGAGTATCTACTGCTAAAACCTGGTGTCTGTAAGGCTTGAATTTTGTATGGTGATATGAAAAATGATTAAATGCTTTTGTTATTATGGATCTGAATCTTGCAGTACTATGCTAGTATTATTCATATTTTGTTCGGTTTTTATTATAAGGCATTACACTGAGTATTCAGGACTTCTCCCTGTTGAAGTTGATGCTTAGCTGAAGTTCTGGAGTTCTGACTGTTGAATTACTCTGTTTCAGGATATCGATTGGGTACAGACAGAGAAACACGTGTTCGAACAGGCTTCCAGTAACCCATTCCTAGTCGGTTTACATTCATGCTTTCAAACAACGAGTCGGTAAGAAAGATCTGAAATTATTTTTAAAAATCTTGATCATTGTGCTGACTGCTTCTCATAAAGCAAACGCCACCACTGCCATCACATAGTGGTTTTTGGAAGGCAGCATTAGTGTCGTCAGGGATCCGCTGCTACAACAAAGCCAGTTCTAGGGGGGGAGCTCAGCCAGTGTGGTGTGGAGAAGAGTCAGGGTTTTCCAGGTCCAGATCTGAGGGGAGAAGATGAATGAGAAGGAAGAGGAACTATGTGCTGTCTTCCTGAGCATCGGCTGTGTGGCTTCAGGAAGAGGAGGATGGGAGCAGAGTGAAACAGAGCTTTAAGAGACAGATTGTAATACCCAGTTCTCAGAGGGCCAAACTGTAGTCCTCTGTTCTTCAAAATAGCATCAGAGTTGGGCTGCTCAGTCACATTTTTTAATAATAACATAAAAAGCTACATGTATAGGAAGTATTCTTTTACCTATATGAGGTGTATGAGCCCTTAGCACATATTGATAAGGTATGTCACTTTATTTGAAAAAGTGCTTAATAAATTCTTAGCTACATTGAAATACTGATTTTTTTTTTTGTCCTTGTGTGCGCAATCCAAAGTGGATTATTTGTTTCTTAATTTGCAATTGGAATATGAAGAAAATCAAGAACATTCATGCCCATGCTTATGAATGTCACTGGGGAATTTGGATGTGTGTGGGTTTTGTGGTTTGGGGGATTTTATGTTTTGTTTTCACAGGCAGCTGTTTACTGTTACACACATCAACTTCAGATTGTGTAACTGGCCCAAAGAAAACAAGGTGTCATACAAGAACAGCTTGTGTATAAGTGTACTAATTGGGGGGCAGCAGTTCCAAAAGCATGTTATTTCTGTTAAATAGAATTTTAAATAAACTTTTAAGTTAAAAGAAATGTGTTCTTAAAAAAAAAATTCTAATTGATGCTAAATGTAGCTTTTTACATTGTTTCAGATCCTAGTGTATTATTATCGTAATAAAATATGTGCTTTGGGCTTGACCAGAATTGCCAGATAAGTGTCTTCCAAGGATGGCAACAATCTGAAACCTCCATCCTCCAAAACCGCTGGTGTTTGAGTAAATCCTTCTAAAACCAGCTAGGACCACAAGCACTCACACACCCCTGTGCTTGAACATGACTTGACACAAGCAGCTTTCCATCGTAGGTTCTGAATGGTGATACAGCATTGGAAGCTTCTAAACAGGATAGGAAAGTTGGAAGCAAAAAATATGAGGAATGCTGTAATAAAATACTTAGGACAGTGCTACCTATTTTATTTGTTGTTTAATTTTAGTTTAGGGTTTATATTCTTTTGGGGAGGCCACTCAAACACTTGCTAGCTGGACTGTGTCCAATAATTTTCCCTGGTTTACCTTTCAAGTTTTTAGCAAGTTAAGTCTTTCAACTGAAGAATCCTTTTCAAAGAAAAAAAAAAAAATCTTCTTGTTACCCTTTATAATGTTCTGAGAGACTGGAGCATGTGTTTTCCAAATGGAATAGGTTTCAGTGTGTGAGTATATGGAAAGGAGTTTTCAACTCATGGAAAATTAGGTGTATGAAGAAAAACTGCCTCCCGGGACAGCAGCAGCCTTCATAAGGAACTCTCACTCAGCATGTTTGTGTCCTGTGGGTCTCTCTGACCTTGGCAGCATTGCCTGGATCATATTTGCCCAAGGATGAAACCTTTCCTGCAGAGTGTAATAGAAGGCTTTTTATATGGCTGATCCCACCTATATTTTTTTCCCCTACTGACTTTTCTCTTGTTTGCTTGGAGAAGATTGTTTCAAAAACTTGTTCTACAGAGGGACTTGATGCTGCAGCCTTTCTGTGCCCGGATCTTCCATTTAGTTAGTGTGCTGTGTGAAGAGTAACAGAAGTGGGTGTTATACTTTAATGTTTTTCTACAGATAATGTCTTGGCAAACTCCAGGGAGGGTGGGATTTCATAGTCCTGCTAGCTGGCCAACTTTAGTTTGTGTCTCTGATAAATAATGAAGATGTGTGAGTTGAGTCTCTCAGTCCTCAAACTCCTTCGTCTGTCTGTCTACAAATCAAACATTACATTGGGCAAATGCTGTTACTCTGCAGGTTTCACTGTTGTGTGCAGCAGCCTCCTTTAGATTTAGGTTGTCATTTAAACAAAGGATGTGATCCTACAGAATACAGATCAAATAAGCACTCATTTTTCTCTTAATTGGGTTCTGTAACTATAACAAATCTAGAAGTCTAGTTCAAGAGTGGAAGTGAAAATGGCTCACATTGGAAGGATAAGAACAGTTTTTCTTGAGAGTTGCCTTGGAATCCATTAATTGTATTATATACTTTCAGATTGTTTCTTGTCATAGAGTATGTAAATGGGGGAGATCTTATGTTTCATATGCAACGACAAAGAAAACTTCCTGAAGAACATGCAAGGTATTTTACCACCACTGTTCAGAGTGGTGTTTTGTGTTGTAGTTGTTTAATGTTGTATGAAATGCTTTCCAAACTGTATTCCATGGAAGAATATGAATAGCATAGGAAGAACAAAAGGTTGATTCTTAAGTTTAGAATGTAATTTAGGTAACACTGCTTTGATCTGATAGATGTAGCTATCCTCCTTATTTTGGTCCTACGTTAAATCGATATAGTGTTGGTAGGAGAAAATTGGAAGTCTTTGTGTGGCTTTGCATAAAGCCTCATTGTAACTCTTAAGCTGAAAATGCAGATCTTCTATGTCATACTTGGAGTTTTCAGAAAATTCTGTAGGATAAAGAATAAGTATTTTCTTAATTAGTAGAATGAAAAAGATAATTTCCTACATCTATTTTAAGGAATGGTTTTATGATTTGAGATCTGTGACCTTGTAAGTGTAGCTTATTTTTGGTATACTGTTGATAGAGGAAAGCTGACTGTAAAGTGATGTTTTAAGAACAGGTTTTTTAAAATTGCACTAGCTTTTGTACATTCTTAACGCTAATAGGAATTTTTTCCTTTTTAATTTCAGGTTTTATGCTGCTGAAATTTGTATTGCTCTAAACTTCCTACATGAAAGAGGCATAATCTACAGAGATTTAAAACTAGACAATGTTCTTTTAGATGCAGAGGGTCATATCAAATTAACAGATTATGGCATGTGCAAGGTAGGATTTTTCTTACCTTTCTTTTGTCACTTTGTCATTCTGTAGTGCACCTCTCCGGTTATCCTTTTAAGTCCAATACTGCATCCAGTGATATTAAGAGAAAACCGAGAAAAGTTATCCTTATCTTTATGCTAGTGTTACTGAGCCCAGAATTTGGTTGTGGAATAGGAACTTTATTCTGAGAAATGACTGTTGGCATTCTTTCCTTTGTGTATTTCGAGTTACGGAGGGCATTTCTGGCCCAGCTTTGAGCACTATTGAGTATTTATTTAGCTTTAGCATTGCTTTTTTGAAAGGAAAGTCTTTAGAGTCCCTAAGTAACTTGGCTTTAGAAGTCTAAGGGAGATTCCAACAACAGGAGGGCAGCTTGTAATTTATTAAATGATTTGTGCATGTAGGAAGGTCTGGGCCCTGGTGACACTACAAGCACTTTCTGTGGGACGCCAAATTATATTGCACCAGAGATCCTCAGAGGAGAAGAATATGGTAAGCTGTGACTAAACAATTTGTAGTTATAATAAATCACAAAGCAAAATTCTAGTTGTAGGTTGGTTCAAATACAATTATTTTTAGATTTCCACATTTTTGGGGTAATACATGGTATGTTGGGAAAATTAAATGCATGTTGTACAGTTAATTTTTTTCTGAAATAAGGTTATTTTTGTTTTTTTCCTTGCAATCGCTCATTTCAGCTTTTCTTACATCATGCTTTCCCTGAAAAATAACTATTAAATGATACTGTAGCAAAACCAAGTCCACTCCTTGAAGAATTTGAGGTGCCAGCTACTACTGTCCTCCAGCCAAGGCTATAGAATGCTGTAACAAAGTTACTGCTCGTGCAGAACTCAAAAGTCTAATAGTATTTTTAACCAGTGTTGTTATTTGTGAACTGATCTGATCAATAGGTTGATTCTGTCATTTAGTTGTAAAATACTATTATTAACTTCTTTAAAAAAAAATCTGAAAATTCTTAGCTTAAACTGAATTTTCATTGAAGCATTGCTGTCTGGCAGATGCCTACAAGTTCCTCTACAGATTGCCTTTGTACTCCCAGTTCAGAAAACTCTCTCAAGTCTCATCCAGTGATTGTGTAAATCATGTCTGTGGCTTCAGTGAAAGCAGAGAATTTCAGTACTTTATAGAACCAAGCCATTAATCTTCATATGTGAGAGAAAACCTGAATTCGGGGAGTCCTGGCTGAATCTCTGCTCTGCAAATGTTTACAGGGTTCAGCGTGGACTGGTGGGCGCTCGGTGTGTTGATGTTTGAAATGATGGCAGGAAGGTCTCCATTTGATATTATTACTGACAATCCAGACATGAACACTGAAGATTACCTCTTCCAAGGTATAGTCATTTTCATTATTTCTCCCCCAAGAAAGAAACAAAATGAGCAGTTCCAGGAGGACAGTTAAGGTGTTCCTTTTCCACTGTTATCCCACAGGTGCCTGGAGTTCTGCTGTAGGTAAAGGGCCCCAATATTTCCACTGCTTCATCTCAGGAATTTATTTTGTTGAACTCAGATAAAGTGGTCTGGAATTAGGAAGCCTTCTTCAGACTATAAAATACTTACTAAAAATGTTCAGAGTTCAGAAATAACAGACAGAAATTGTATGGAATAGTGTCTTTGTTAGAAAGCAGTCCACAGGTCAAGAATTAATTTTAAAATTCAGTGCTACATGAGAGGAGAGGAGGATCTTTCTTCACAGAAACATATCAATCTGTAGTTTTGCTCCAGATAAGTGTTGTGTGGTGGTTTGTTTTTTTTTACTTATAATGAAATTGATGTAACTTTTTTAACAGTTTCATTTTTCAGGAATAGCGATGTATGAATTTTTCTAAACAAAAGTAGTAATACTTGGCATGCTTATGACAATAGAAACTCTTAACAGTTTGGGGAATTGCAAAGTTGCCTACTCCCTGCTATGCAGAACCATTCTTAAAACTAGTTGATGTGATTATGTAACAGAATCTGCCATGGTCTTCTTGACAAGCCTAATGTTAAATTGATCACAGCTTTCCATATACTGAAGACACTGAAAATTTTATTCCCTGTTTGTACTACAAAAAATAGAAAAAGATAATGAAGCTAACATTTCTTTTAGGAAATCTTAAAATGTCAGTATAAGAGTGCCTTGAATTACTGTAGCTCCTTTTGTTTGCATAATTTTAAATTACTGTATCTTCCCATTTTCCAAATGGTAACATATTTAAATAATAGTGTTTGTGTTGAAATCACGGTCAATGTCATAAACCAAAAAACAATATTGCTGTTTTTAAACCTGTAACAGTTATTCTTGAGAAGCCAATCCGGATTCCAAGGTTTCTTTCTGTCAAGGCTTCCCATGTGTTAAAAGGATTTTTAAACAAGGTAAATAACATTCTCTTATTTTTAGCATCTAAGATCTGGAAGTCAGAGCTTCCTGTTGAAAGCAATACAGTTAAGAAGTTAATCTGCTTACTATTAAGAAAATCTATAAAACCTTGGTATCCTATATGTTAAAAACCCCACTTATTAGCTGCTAATTTACTGAGGGAATTCCACAGCACCAGCTTGATTTAAAAGCCTGCATCTAGTGGGGAAAAAATAACTATAGGCTTGTTTACAAACTCTCTTCTGTAATACTACTCATTTAATTAAGCTGATTGGAATCTGTAGAACCATTATAATTTTTCAATGGAGAGAAGGATATGAATTATACATTACTAAATAAATCTAGAATTTTTTTTAGTTTAAGAAGTTTGAAATCTCATTTTAAGAATATATTTTACAACTTCAAAAAAAAAAAAGAACAAAAATCCCTTGGTAGTTGTAATAAGTGTATCTTAGCAGCAGTGTGCATAGTACTAGGAAATGCTGGAGTCACGTCCGTGGGCTTTTGACAAACATGGGCAGTAAGTGGCTTAGAGTATGTAATATGAGTTTCTGTGTTTTCCACAGGATCCCAAAGAAAGGCTTGGTTGTCAGCCGCAGACAGGATTTTCTGATATCAAGTCTCACACATTTTTCCGCAGCATAGACTGGGATCTGGTAAAAATAATTACTTCTGTTTATATGTGTTCAAATGGAATAGATTCTTTTGATTAACTCTGTGTATGTGTAACAACCCCATTAAAACCAGGGAAACTCAATTCCATAAATGTAGAAGCTATTTTGCTTTCTCTAGGTGACATAACATAATGGGAACAAGCTTTATTTCATGACCAATATCTGGCTTGCTTCCAGACTTGAACAATGCTTACAACTTTTGGGTATCACTTTTAAAATACATGATAAATTTTAGAGAACATTTAAAAAAACATTAAAGCATTGGTGGAACCATTTATTCCTTGGTTTCTATTTGTGGATTCTGCAAAGTCACACACTGGGTTCTGCTGCTGTAAAATTTACCCAGTATACACACGTACAATGCCCGCAGTTGTGGTGTGCAGGACTGCAGAGTTTTCCTGTATCAGAATCCAGTGCCTGCTGTTCTGGGTGATCATTTCATATAGTCCCACTTGTAAACATTTCAAGCTCCATTGAAAGAAGAGGTGGGGACTAGCAGGCAGCCGATGGGAATGCTGCTCCAGTACTTCATTTCTCTTGTTGTTTAGAAACCTTTCTGCATTGACAGGAGGGTGAGTAGTTGGTTAACACAGACTGAGTAAAGTGTCATGAAACCAGTTTAGACACAACCGTGGAAGATGAGGTGCTTCACATACCTGAAGCATTTGTAGTCTGCTTGTAGTACATTAAAAAAGAAGACTGAATTTACCAATTACATTATTTTAAAAATCAGGATTATTCAGGTAGGTGACAGGGTTTGGTAACGTGAGTAGGTGTGAGTAGGGCCAGGTCCTTTAAGGATGTGGCTTGAAAGCAGTGTAGGCCTAGTTAGCAATAGGATAAACAGGATAAGCATATACCATTTCGTATCAAAATCTACTAGTCTAAAACTTCATGTCTGATTTTATTTAACTTGTTTATACCTTCCACCAATATTGAACTCGCTTGTAGTGATTTCTGTGCATGAACTCCAGAGCCAATGTATGTTGATGTTCTTAGGGGATTTTGTAAATAGTGTGTTAATTTTTCCCCTCCCTATTTCTTTTTCTTAGCTGGAAAAGAAGCAAGCAAGCCCTCCATTTCAGCCTCAGATCACAGATGACTATGGTTTGGATAACTTTGATACGCAGTTCACCAGCGAACCTGTGCAGCTAACCCCAGATGATGAGTATGTTTTTATTTTTCCCCAAATGCATTTGCATATTAAGAAATCAAATTAGAAATTACTTGAAAATTACTGAAGAGAGGCTATGTACTTAGCATTAGAACAAAGAGAAAGTAAAATTGAAGTTATTTGTACCAGCATATCTTGGATAACTTACCATACTTGTATATTAGAAGACTGCCTGGTATTGTAATGAAAGTTCAGAATACAGAATGGATTTGCTGTTGAGCGGGTGCTTGACCCTGAAAGAAGAGACAGAAATTTGATTCCAGACCCAGGCAGCTTGCATTTCTGTACTCGGGGAGAAAACAATTGATGCACAGCTCCTTGGGCCTCAGAATATGTCTGAGGTGGCAGGAGAATCTTACAGAAAGCTATTATTTACGTGTGCTGTGGAAACATTTTGCAGGAAGAACAAGATGCTTTAGTAGAGGAATTTGAAGGCTCAGGAGTCATTGCTGTACATGAAGGAAGAAGTTCCTTCAGGTGGAGTATAAGAAGACAAGCTATATTTTGGTAGCTAGGTGGGGACTTGGCTTGACCAGACTCTTTTAAGAGAAAAATTTTACAGTTTTGAGGCTTTACTGAAGAGACTTACTTTTTCCCATTTATTGCTGCTTCTGTACAGGTTCATACACATACATTCCTATAAGGTCTTTTATTATTTGAAGGAAACGTACAGCAACAAACATAGTATTTGCAATAGATTAAAATGTTTTTATTTGTTTTTCAGAGATATAATAAAGCGAATAGATCAGTCAGAATTTGAAGGATTTGAATATATTAATCCATTGTTGCTGTCAACAGAAGAAACAGTATGAAGGAATGACATCTTCGTTGTGGACCATGTGAATGACCTTTAAATTTATCCTTAACTACAGTATATGCATGCGAGGCTGGGGAACTGTAAGATTTTGGATGGAGACCAATGATTTAAAAAAAAAAAATTGCTGCTGAAAATCAAAGAAGAGAAATAAATGGTTTTGGTGGGTGTCTTCTGCCACTTAGTGATTCTTAAGTTCTGGGCACTGACACAACTGGCTTCATTAATGAAGGAATTTGCGTTTTGTGCCTGTTTCATGAAGGATTGAAATGTTCATTGCATCCCTGGAAAAGGAGATTCCGAACAACTTTGAGATCTACGTACTTTCTACAAACATTTGATGCAATGAGCTACCAATTGAAGAATATTACAGTGTAACATCCTGAAGAATAAAATATATTACGGTGGTGTTGAAGCTTATTTTTGATGCCTTTTTTCACAAGTGGTACCTGTCTATACGTCTCAGATATATTTAAAAGGAGTTGTGTTTTATTAGCAATCAAAACATAAATTTGGGTACAAGATTTAAGTGCCTAAATGGATAAACTGCATTGAAGAATTATTACATATTTGGAGCATTCTTAAACCTGGTAAGTTCTATTTGTTAATATTAAGTAACCATTTACATATGAAGCATACAGTTCACAGCTGCAGCCTAATGTTCATTTGCGTCTTTATAGAATTTGAAATGCAGTGACTCAGCAATATTAATTCCAAATTAGAATTTACAGTATCAATTTCAAAATCTGTCGTTTTAAACTCCAAATTTACCAAAATATATAGATTGAAGGAAACTAAATTTGCACACAAAGGATTCCTGAAAATACTTAAGCAGTGCCTAGTCCTACAATGTTGTGTTGTATATTAGATTTTTGAAAGTATTTTTATCAACAATACAGATATTCAGAAATAGAGCAAAAGCATAATTAAGCATAGCCTTAAAGTTTAAATAGGAAGTCTAGAATAACCATAATATAAAATACATTTTCCTGATAAAGCACACCTCCTACTTATGATAAACTGTCTGCTTACAATTAGTCAGTGTATATTAATAACTAATCATTCTACACAAGAGAGTGGGATGTTCTGGTAAAATGACTTGCATCAAAGTAGGAAATTTTTCTAATGGAAGAAAAATGAGTACCTAAGAATTGGTTAAAGCAAAAGATAACTCTCAAGTCCCTTCTCATGGAAACTGGGGGGAGGGGGGTGTTAAGGGGCAGGGAAAGGGTGTATTACATCAGAAAGGCTAACGATTTCCCAGCTTGGAAAAGCTCATGTCGCTACATTTGAGGATTAGTAAGTGTGCTTTGCTATCTGAAACTTCAGGTGCTTGTGAAGATTTCCCTGCCTCTGTAAGGGACTACAGCAGAGGCAGTATTTCTTTTTGCTAGATTCTGGTTTAACTATATTGTGTGGGTTGTAGAGATGGGGGGTGGGGGGGGAATAATGTGGGATGGAAAAAATGAGAAACCCTGTGCCATGACATCTCACCTAATTTGGTGTAAAATGCAGGATAAATTGTGACGCTTTCACTTTCTTTACATTAACATATGGTTTTCTCAGGGTACAGCATTGCATTAGGTGCTGAACATGACATCTTTCGGATTCATATCCAAGTCATGAGGTGCTAGGACAAGACTGCCAAAACATTGTTTATAATTTTCAATTAATCATTGATTAACAATCTAGATTTTGTATCCCTCAGCCACAATTATGCAGACCTGTGGTTATTTAGTTACATTAATCCCATGCAGACTTCAGTTGTGGGTTTCTCTCCCTTGGACTGTAGCTTTTCATATTAAGCAAAATGTGTTTTAATCAGCACTAAATAACTTAACCAGTAAGAAGTATTTGCCTCAAATGCCTGGACTTTAGTATCTACTAAGGGAAACATTTACCTTTTAAATGTAATCTGACTTGGTAAGTTACTCCTTTTTTCCCTTCTCCCTGGCAATTACTTTATTTACCCTGAATAACTTTTCTTTCAGTGTTTCAACCCCCCTTGTAATAAAACTAATCAACAGTTACCAGAGTGACTGCAGGCAGCTCATGAATGGAAATCTGACAGATTCAGCTGTCCTTTGACATGCCAGGGCATAGGACTTCAAAACAGAAATATTAGGAATGTGGATTGGGGGTTGTTTTAACCTTTTTTTCTAGGTTTCAGAACACTTAGGGAGGGGAGGGAAGGGAAGGAAGAACAGAGACACATTTGCTAAACGAACATTATAAAGACTACTTGATTTTATTTAAAAATTTACAGGCATTTTACAATGTTGCTGTGTTGCCAAATAGTTTGCTGGATACAAGTTTGGTTGCTCATGTGCAAGTGTTTGAATAATGTTCTGTTCATGATGAAGGGGAAATTTTTTATATAAAAGTACTTGTTTTATAAATAAAAGAAAATGAAGGATGTAATTAAATGTGTGGTTTGGAAAAAAATCCTAATATATTACAAATGGATCTGGTAATGATATATAGTTGTCTTATTTGAAATAGTAAATGAAAATTCTAGCTAATTTAATGATTGTAAAACAGTAAATATGTTCTTGTAGTTTTGTATAATTAGTTGGGATCTTTGACCAGTTTTAATTGTGCAGAAGATGGTATACTAATCCATAACAGCTAAGAACATTTATATTCTTGCACATCTATTAAAGACTTTAATGAAAAAGATAATAGACTGTTATTATTTATCAGCAAACTATGTCCAACTTGTACTTTTTAGAGACCTCACTGTAAATTAAATCTATAGGATTGGTCCTGTATTTTGATACTGTATTTTATGTTTATTCTGTGTCTTTAGATCGCACCTGAACTGTGTGTTTTTGAGGCCCAGGGTAGAGGTTTGCTGAGATAGATTAACCAGCTCCAGTATCTGAACGGTTTTTTAAGATTAAGAACAACTGTGGTGCATCAGACAAAACAGGTTCTTCAGGGATTTACAATCGTACATATTTTCAGAAGTACCCAGATTTCCCTGGGGGTCTCTGGGACATCCTATAGCACTATTTTCAGAACTAGAACTACTAGAAGATGTAAAATAAAAAGACCCCAAACAGGCAGGTGGCACTTGACCTTTTATTGAGTCACTGGTTTGTGATCCTTAAGCAAGTTCAAGACAAGGATGTGCTTCCCTGACACATTTTTCCATTTCCTTTAAGAAAGATTCATCTGTGGCCTTGTTCCTTTGCTCTTCATTCTTCTGGATTTACCACATCACATCATCTGCACTTTCAGACAAGCACCTAGCAAGATGGCCATCAATATCCAGTTGTGACAGCCTGCAAATACAGAGAATTTGTTCAGTGAAAAACCAAGTCAAATCCTTTCATTTTCACTATTCTTTACCTTCATTTCCAAAGCAATTGCAGAAGTGTTCCAGTAGATTAATGGACAAGCAGCACTGCCATTGGACACAGTCTTATAGGTGCTATTACCTACTGCCACTTTGATAATATAATTTACTAGAAGAAAATGCTCAGGACAAGTCATGCTATCCTAGGAAACATTAGGCTATTGACAGAGGACAGAAAGCCGTTACTCAAATATTTAAAAATGCTAATTGTGCATATACTAGCAAGGTTTACCAGAGAGCCACCTTAACTTACGTTTGGAACCAGTACAATCTAGTAATCATGAACTTCTAAACTGAAATAGACGTAGGTAATTGTGACAGTTAAGAAGTACGTTACAGTATAAGTTTTGTCTATTTTGATTTTGTATATAGACAGGGCATCCAGAACCACTTTGGGTTTTGTATACTCTGAAGTTACTAAAAAAAGACTTACGTTCTGCTAAAATTAATCAGACACATTGGACAACTGTCAAGGGTTGAAGATCCTTCACTCTGATTTTCAGTCTTCTTGCAGCTTTCAGTTTCAGGTGTGCTTGCAAGAGGCTTCTCTTCTGAAGGCACATATCTGCTCTCACCAAATGATATATTCCCTTGACCTGTTTGTATTTGAAGCTCCCTCCTGTCATTTTCTCTTCTGTTTTCCCTGCTGTTCTGTACGGTCTCTCTGCAGAGCTGTTGAAAGCTAAAAGCTTTTTCAGGTCTTTGCAACACTGCCACGTTGTGTGTAGAACTTGTGTGTTGAGTGAGTTTACATGATTTAGGACTTGCATCCAGTTTTGAAATACCTTCTGTCTCTCCCCCAACCGTATTTTTTGCTTGATCTGTAATAGTTACACAGCATGTTTTCTCAGCTGTAGAAGGTAAATTTTTCAGTTTATCTGTTTGGCCCTGTCCTTTATGTAAATAGTCAATCTGGCTCTCAGTTAGCTGATGGGAGCTAAGATCCTTTGGTTTTAGATGGTTTTCTTTGCAAAAAGATGGGAATGGTACCCACTGAAAGTCTTTCCTTCCAATGGTAAAGACTTCTTCGTTTTCTAGACTCTCTTCATCAGAATTCTGTAGCACACACACACACAATGTCTTCAAACAAATGCAGTTCAATAAATACATAAAACCAAAGCTGAACATATTTCAAATACTGAGAAGGGTAAACTAGATTGAAGAAAAGAACATTTTATTTACAGCCAGCTCCAGCAGTTGTAAAGCAATCAAGAACTTCCTGGAGTTTATGCAATGTGTGTCTTCCTATAACATTTCTAAGTTGATACAGTAACATGTTCTTTTAATATGTTCTATAGAGACTAAGGATGAAGACAACAACCTGTTGCTGTTCAGGGAAAAAAAAATCTACCTTAGAAGGATTGTCTTCTTGCCTAACTCTCAGAGCAATGTTCCTATAACATTTCTAAGTTGATACAGTAACATGTTCTTTTAATATGTTCTATAGAGACTAAGGATGAAAACAGCAACCTGTTGCTGTTCAGGGAAAAAAAAAAATCTACCTTAGAAGGATTGTGGGTTTTGTCTTATTGCCTAACTCTCGGAGCAATGTAATAGTTGTTACTGTGTAATTAACCTTTCTGTTACAGTTTGCATTTTTCAGTTTAATTCTGTTGGGGAAATTACATGTAATAGTTGTTACTGTGTAATTAACCTGTTACAGTTTGCATTTTTCTGTTTAATTCTGTTGGGGAAATTATAGTACTTAGGAGCAGTCAGTATACTTGCACAGGTTACCTTTTTCAGAAAAATGTTGTAAAGAATTGGCCATACTGCAAAAATGCCCCAGTGAAGTGTCATTATACTAACTGTGACACATGCTATGTCACACCACTCTAGAGACTAAAGAGAGGAAAATACTTCAGATTGTTTGCGATGTTAACATCACCACTCAGCCTGTCCCTGTTGTAAGGAGCACCCAAGGTGCAGACAACAGGGATACAGCACCCTACCTTTCCACTGAACTCTGGAAAACTGGGTACTGTTTGCCAAGTTGTGCTCTGTAAATCTTGACTGATGTCTTTGACTAACAAAAGCCAGGCTTTTTCACACTCCTTCA